TCTGATTTGATTGGCAATAAATTCACTTAATTTTCCTAACTTGAGTCTGTTTTGCCCATGAAAATATTTTCCGAGTGATCTCTCCCTGGCCTTATCTCGACCTTCAAACCTTTGAGTGTATTTTCTCTCTCCTATCTAGTAGAGGAGGGGGAGTGATAGAGCAGGTTGATGGGCATCTGACATCCATCCAGGATCAATCCACTGCAAGTAGTTTTCAGACTTTTTTTATTTTTCTCTTTGTATTTCTAATCATATTTAACCATGTGTATAATTACTATCAATTCAGGGCACCTGTAGCTTCTTTAGTAACAAACAAAAGCTACGAGTATGCAGCAGTTCTGAAAACCTTGTTACTTTTTTATGCGTTGAAATAAGCTGTTGTAGCTAACTTTAGGACAGCTTCAGAGGATAAGACTGCTTTTTAAAGAGTCTAAATCTAATCTGTGAAGCCACAGCTGTGACCTACGTGGACAGCTTCTTAAATGAGGAACACTCAAGACATATTACTTCCCAAGAAAAATATATTAAGAACCAAATATAGTTACTCTTTTTGGCCGTGTATAAAAACAGGTAGTTAACTGGTATTTGGAAGAACTTCATAGCAAAATGGAACCCATTAGAAATGCAGCCAGATACTTCAAATTCTGAATACAACAAAATAATTTGAATAAAGAAAAAAAAGCAATTTGTTTATGGTTATTACTTAATCTATTTGAATTTTGTTTATTGCGATTCTTTGCTACATCTACAAATCAGAATTTGTTTTCCAAGAGCTGATACTAAACTTGCTTTCCAAATCTATTCACAATAACTCTATACATAATTCTACTCTGTCAATGTGAGTATTTTTTTCTTTTTTGCCTTCCTTCTTTTGTGTAGATTTTCTACACAGTGTGTAAAAAGATAACACATAAAAAAAGATTCATGAAAGACATTACACTGTTATTACAGAATGGCTCAGAAATACTGCATGTTTATATACAGTCAAACAGTGGAAATTGGACAGAAAAGGACTCTACAGCATGACCTCCCTCTTGATAGAACGTGTGATGTCTCATCCAGAGGATACAGTTTAGCCCAATAGTAAATGAACAGGATATTCAGACAGAACATGATTAAATAAAGCTCTTCCTGAATATGGCTCCCCATAAAAATAAGGAAAAATAGTTTTAATAATTACACAGTAATTAATGTACTGTTTAAATAAACAACAACTATGGCTTATTAATATAATAAGTAAATAAGCCCACACAGACCCAGCTAGCTGGTTGTGGTTCAGCAACCAAATTCCTTTATTCAAATGAGACAACAGCTTTTCAATAGTAACACATCACACCATGTGACCTTAACAACCAATCACGCCAAGGCACTTCACTGAACGTGTGATAGAGTACTTGGGAAACTACATCTCTCAGGGAGCTTTTCGGCACCCTTCCTGAAACTTGACTCCTACAAACAACAGTTGTAATCTGCTTATTTTCAGTAGTGTCCGTCATATCCCCAAAGATCTTTATTAGTTTCCCAGGTCATCTATACATTTGAATTTTACCAAGAACAGAATGGACTGTTGCCTCAAGGTTTTATCAACCAGATTTTTTGTATTAGTGTTGTAGAACTTGTTATTAAATTTTATTACATGATTGGTTTTGTCCATCTCAAGAGCTAAGGAATACACACAAATCTAATACTGAAGCGAAGCAAATAACAAAATTAGGTTAATACTCTTGCACATGTTCCATATGTATCAATTAAATCTTTGCTGTTCCCATTTCTGCGATTCCCAGGGCTGCCTTCTAATGGTTTAATATTCAAATATTTTTATAACAAATTCTATAGCCAAAATACCACTGACCTTTAGCTATAACGGAAATTTCTAGAAAGCAGATGAAAAGATGATTTTGTAGCTACAACTTGGCTTATTTAGGGAAAGAGTAGAACCAAAGAGCTGAACTTGTGCTAAACTACCATTTATTTATTTATTTTTAATACTAATCAGCTATTGATGGCTACACAAGCTTATTCTAATGGTGGGCTAAATTAACATGTACTTTTGTGCTGTGAGGGACTGATCCTTGTCCTTCTTAAACCACTAGCATCTTTTTGTTATTCTTTTTTTACAATCTTAGTGATTGTTTTCACATAGATACCTAAACCATCCTGCATACAGAGTTCAAGCAATGACAGTGGAAATAAATAGATGGAACACGTGCTGTGCCCAGATGATACTGTATTCTCTGACAAAATAACCAACTGGTATGGAGGTAGACAACCTTGTTTATCAAATCCTCTTGATTCCTGGGGAGTAACAGGTGCATTGGTATCATAAAAACAAATAAGAAGTGGAAATTATATAAATTTTGAACGATCAAAAAAGTACTCAAACTACCTACTCAGCAACAGATGAGAAGGAAAACAGTTTGAACTTATTTTGTGAACACACACACACTTCTGGTATTTCTGCTCACAGAAGACAATCCAGAAACTATTGCCACTTTAAATATACAGCTGCTAGCTGTTTTTGCAGTGGTAGTGGTAAAAAGGTTTACATCTTCACTTTAACAACTTCTTATCCACTTTAATGCATTAAGTATTTTCATTCCAGCTAGATACATATGTGATGGTGGATTGAGTGGCCTCAGTCAGGCGTGAGCTGCATTACAGATCATGCACAGGAGAGTTGCAGCTCTGGAAGATTCAGGAATCTAACTTCTCATTCTTGCAAAGAACTCTGCAGATACCTGAGTGAAGGACTGATGCATAGCACTGCTATGGATATGGAAAAGACAGGAAAGAATGACTGGAGCATGATAACCCCAGATAGTTAAACAGGCTAAATAATGTCTACATTGTTGGCTTAAGGTTCGTTTAAAAAGTTCAAGAAGAGAACTTCCTCTTCCTCTGATTATTTTAAATTTTTTTAGTGAGGACTTTCTTTTTACTCCTGTAAATGTTTTTATTTTATTATTTTGCTTTTTTCCCCAAATCCTTTCTTTTGATTTTTTTTTCAATTTACATAAATATGCATAAATTGTCTAATATGACAGACATAGTAAAAATACAATGATGGCCTACGGTACAACGATTTCTCCTGCACAAGTCAGGTTTCTAATCTGAAATTTGGTAAATTAAAGGGACTGCAATGAAGATACACGCTCCTATTATAGTTAGTAAAAAGATATTTCTCTTCAGAATAATGAAAACATTTAAATTCCAATTTGTCTTTTATGTTGACCATATTTGTCATAAATTTCTATTTAAAAATAGTTCAATGGTGATTATCCTTGAGGAGGCAGTAACATGGAGAGAGAAATTGTAGGCATATTGTTGTGTCTTAGACAGCATCCAATTCTTTTGAACTATTGCTGTTTCCTTTCCTTTCAAGACTATAAATTAATTTTATAGCCTGTAGGTCAATGGTGAAAAGAGTTGAAAACCCTATCATTGTCAGGGGTAGAAACAGAAAACTAGAATTAAAAACCCTTTCATGAGAAGAGACTCTTGCAACTCCGTGATTCAGTTGGCATGGTAGGAAATTAGAATTCTTTCAAACTGCATGGGACATAAATTTATGGATTTTCTAGATTCAAAACACAAATTACAACTGGTTATGGGGGAATGGAGTGAATGTGATCATTTTGTGTTGCTACCTAGAGAAGCAATGACTAAGAGTATTCTCTTTTTTTAGCTGTCAATGTAAATGTTCTCAAGCATTAACACAAGCACACTTTTAGCTCTTGATATCTGCTGCCTTTATGGACTTGCTTGAAAGAATATACTATCTGAAAGGTGCCACATGTGACATTGACAGGCAGCAATTCAGAGTATGGCAGACAGACAGTAAATCACTCAGTAGACTTTTCTGTCCCTCCAACCATATCTTACAGAATCCACAATTTCAGCCTTCACAGTATACTTCAGTGTCAGAGGTTATGTTCTTTTTAAACTTTTTTTTGTGAAAGCGACAAAAAAGTTACACGTTCTCCTGCTAATTGATTTTTCTCTCCTTTCAGAGCTCAAGTGCACAAATCTCAGCATGTGCTAACAAGTCTCTCACAATCTTTCCAAGTAGTCTGAGTACAAAGAGAGTTTTTTTCCTCTCCAGGAGTGGAAAAGAACAAAAAAATAAAAGTAGGATTTTTGATAATTCATACTATAAGCAGTTTATTCAAAATCTGTGAAAAAATATTCATACCTGAAATTAAATTTTCAGTTCTTGCCTGATTATCAGCTGATAGCAAAAATTGTGTATCCTTTGCCTATTTCATGTGCATTCCTTTTTTCAGCTGTTCAGATGTTTTTTGCAATGAATTAACTTTTCTAAGAGAAACTGCTGCAGAGGTTGTATTAAATACCCTAGTAAAGCCTCTCTGTGTGTTAAAACTTTTAATAAATCACTAGTCCTACCTGTTCTGCCAAAGGGTCAGCGTAACATAGAAATTTCCTGCATCAGTGTATTTACAGGAATATCCAAGAAAGACTAAGGAAAGGACAAACACACATAATTCCTACTCTATGAGTGCTTATATTATGACCACATAAATTAGTCTCATTAAACAGTGCTGTCACAAATTAACACTGATCATGACTTCAGATGCCACAGGGAAATCTGTTTTCAAAAAAATCATTCATCTCTGCCCCTCTGAACTTATAGCAGTCTGTGGTATGGCTCAGGTTGGCTAGATGCACCCAGTCTTAGAGGATTTGAATCTTTATCACATAACTTCATATTTAGATCTCAGGAATACAAATCTACTATTATATAAATATGAATGCCTCTGAAACAGAAATTATGAATTTAATTGTGGTATAAAAGCTACTGAAAAGTTCAAGCTGATGCTGTTACAGAGTTTCTGTGTATTCTGTAATTACTTAATTGATTCTGGGCTGACCTTAAAACACAAGGTGTCGTAGTACCTGCTGTTCCTCCTGTTTATGTAAAATACTATAAATATGTGACAAAATGGTAATTTCTGATCCTTTCTTATTTTGCACAATGGTTTCCAATGGATGTTCTGAACTCCAAAAGGGATCTGTTTTGTTTTCCCTTGTCTCAGTTACAGATAGCTTTAGTAAATATTTCTCTTAAAGTAAACTCAAATTTGTTACAGTAACTTGCTAATCCTCTTGTTTTCTTTCCTACTTCAGGCACACAAAGCATTGTGCATATTTTCTGACTTACCAGATTCAAGGGTAAATGGGTTTCCTAATGCATCCTGCTCAAGGAGCCGGCACAGGGCCAGCCAGACACGGGAAACACACACACACCATGTGCTCTGGGCACTAAACCAGATTTTATCTCAGTAGGATTGGTTTTTTGCCTTCACTGTAAGAAATGCATAAGCCATAGGGATGATGTGAAGAGCTGTGGTTTCCTGGCCACAGTCACAGCCTGGATCCCACCATGGAGTGTGGCCAGGCTGGGCTGGGTTGGGAGCAACGTGGGGCAGAAGCCCCTGCTGGGACCCCACTATGCCCCAGGACCCTGACAGCTACAATCCCTTTTTTCTTTTGGGAAAATGAGTTTACCTAAAGGCTAGAGTTGATAATCCATTTGTTTGCAGAGTTGACTATGGAATTTTGGCAGCTCCAGAATGCATGTACATGAAGTGTGACCATTCCTATTCATTTTAATGGTAAACACTAAAGGCAAAAGACTGAAAGTCCTCGTCTTAGTAGCTGGAACCATTGCAGTGTAGACCAAACCAAGCCACATTTTAATGCCTTTTCCATGTCCTGTAAGTATATGTTGGGTCAATTCTACTTTGCAGAAGCACTAAACATTTTCAGGGAAGAGGAAAATCAAAAGCATGACAGCTTCTACTATTTGTAGTATGCCTTCAGGGGAAGGAAAAAAATATAAAGAAGATAAATAGAATAGCAAAAAAACCTCTCAATCAGACCCATTATCACCTAAGTTAAACCTGGGTTCTACCAATAGGATAGACCCTTTAGTAGCCCCTTTCCCTTCCAGGTTTAATAATTGTGTGTTGTAAAATGACAACAGATTTTAATAGTTGTTACCTGTAACTGTGACCTGGGAAATCTGGACATATTGCATTTGGTAATTAATTGCCAATCATATTGCCTGGAAACAGATAAGAGTCCTTGTGAGCCTTTTCCAGAGATGAAATAGTCTCCAGCAATTTCTTATTCTGAGACTTCAGAAATGAAATGTTAAACCAAATGTTTGCAACAAAATAAATATCTCTGTCTGGCACAAAAAGTGGAAATGATATACAACAACCCTCAGTAACAGTAAAGAACCTTCCTTTACAGCTTCCTTTCTTCAGTTTTATCTTCAACTGTGATTTAATTCTGTTTTGTAAATTTCAATACTCTTCGGTGTTTTGGTTCTGAGATTGATGGATTTAGATAAAATGTGGATTGAATGAAGGAAAGATTTTTTAATGGTGTATTTTTAGAACAACCAAGCTTAAAAGAAGGGGGAATTCTGCTAGGGGAAAGGACTGACTTCTCCAGGGTTTCAAAGCAAGCTTCTGGCAAGGACAAGAAATAGAATCTTGGTCCTCTAGGGCTGTGCCTGCCCCTCTGTCCAGCAGTCTCCATGGCTACTTTTCCTAAGTAACTGTCACAAAAACCACAGCTAAGAAAATACCTTCATCTTAAACAAAGAAATGAGATGTATTCAAATGCTTCCAGCAATTGTTGAGCTGTTGATTCACAGTCATCCCTCAAAACATTAAGCACGAAGAGCAGCAACTCTTTTCACTCCTGAAGTCCAAATCTGCACGGCATAGGCATTAGGTAGAGAAGGAGCTGCCTAATTAGAAGGGTTTATCCTGGCTTTAATATGGCTTAAGAACAGCTGCTTTAAGTTGCATTATTGGCCTGTGGGTGCCACTAAGGATGCTCTCTCCCCTTCAAAATGGATCTGTTCTCTGGCCTTAAACAAATCAGTAAATCTACTTAAATAGAATGGAAATACTCTGATTTGGTAAGTGTAGGGTTTGCCAGCAAGTTATCGGCTGCCTGCTGTTAACTCCTAATCCAAAAGGAATCGTCACCATTTAAGATGACATATTGCACTATTTGTAGCATTTTCTGAAAGGCTGCTTAGCCAGGTGCAACTCTGATCCCTCAGGGGCAGGAGCCACAGCTGCAAATGGATGGAAATCCAGAATTTTTTAGTGCCTGTGAAAGAGGATCACCAGATGGGAAATTTAGCAGGAAATCTCATTGCCATTATGAATCTCACCCTCTGCATTTCCAAGCAAAAACAAATGCTTGAATGCTGAAAATTATGACATATTAAACAATTATTGTGAATTGCAGTTAGCTGGCTCATATATACCTGAGGTTCTGGAATTACAGATGGCAAATTTAACCAAGCATTGCAATGTACTTTTGCTGCAGATATTAGGGGAACAGGGAAATGTGCACAGAATCTTTGACAATGGCTTACAGTGGTATTGGGAAACCTAAATAAAGGTAAAGAGGGGATTAATACACAGAATAACACAATCTACTAATTCTGCCATCACCTGTTTAGTAGGAAAACTTATTCAGCAAATACCGAAGTAAAAGGGTTGCATGCAAACATATAGATGTTGTATTAGATTGGTTAGATCACTGGATCTTTTTTAGTGAGCACTTTTGTGTGTGTGAGGCATACTGACCTGCAGACAAGTTGGGAAAGGGGAGGTAGGGGGAGATAAAGCTCTTGCAAGTTAACTGTATTCACAGTGGGAATAATTCGGATTTTGAGGAATGATGAACAATTTTTCACAAAATGACAGTTTCCTAACCTTATTGGTAACAATAGGCAAATTTGATCATCACAAAAAATCATTGTAATGTATATTGATAGATGATAAAATTCACCCTACTGCACCAGAAGAGAGTTAATAGGCTGGAGCACTAAACACTTACACTTTCCATATGGCTTTCATTTGCATGTTTGTATACAAATATTTCAAGGCATGTGGAATTATACAGAGATATGGCAAGAAAGTGTTTTGTCTTTGTATCTTGTAGGACAGTCACACAGGAAAATGCTGTCAGCCTTTACTGCCAATGTGAAAATAATAGAATATTTTTATATACATTCTATTCATACGATATTTTTCAAATTACAACTTTTTAGATAAGATTTTACCCTCCTGTATAAAGATCTCTATGTGATAGCAACATAAAGAGTAGAAAGTATTGCATTTATCATTTCCTAAAGGAGTGGAATAAGGACACCTACCAAAATATTTTCTTATGTGTCTTCGGAGGGTTTTTCTGCCTTGGTGTTATAATCTACTGAAGCTATTTCATCAAATATAAGTTATATAGGTTAACAACTCAGTGACAAAAGACATGTTCCCTGGTCTCAGAGCTACATTGTTTAAGAAACAGCATATTGCTTACTGACCCAGAAATCAGGAGAGCAGGTTTCCTTATTATGCCATAGGCTTCCTATATCAAGGGTTTACTTTGGATGTCTGGTATCAAGAGAAGAATCTAGGAATTGACAGGATTTCCCGAATAAACAACTCTCAATTCAATCTTAACCTATATGAAGACCAATTCTGAAAGTACAAGCTGTGGATTTAGATGAAGGAGGTTCTGGTTGCAGAACAGATTTCTTTGTGACTTTGAAATGAGACTTTTTTACATGAAGAGCATGTCTGTAAAGTGGAGATAGCTATGCAGTGTTGGAAAGAAAAGAAATTTTAGGTTTTGAGGGATACAAAAGAAATAACTTGATAAGTAGGAAGTAACAACGTACAATTTCTAGCATCTGATATCTTATTCTAAGCTAGTGGAAATGTAATTTTCTTTTTTTTTGGTAAGGGGATAGTCAATGATCCTAGAGAAATATGGAAAGTGAAATGGAAAAATTACAACTGTATATTTTGCTAATTAACCATCCATAAAAAAAGGGGATAATTTTGCATTGAAGTTACATTGAAGTTGCTTTATCACCTTCATATTCAAATTACAGAAACTAGATACATGCTTTGGGGTAAACAGAGAAAATTAATATCCCTAGGTAGCCTTGCAGATACCATGAAGGTCACTTAAAACACATGGTTGAGACACAATAAGAGAATGCAACATTGATAATTAAAAATATTATTAATAACTGTGAGAATTTTAAATAAATCCATGGCTGTATTTTTTATAGAAAACCTTTACTGAGTTGTATTTTTAAAATATGCTTCTCAGAACTGTCCTGGTGAAACAGATAAGAAACATTAACGGAAGTAAAACAATATTCCTGTCTATCTATTTCTTCTTTCCCATGTGCAGTGCTTTGTCCTTGCTAGTAAATCTTATTAATATCATAAAACCACAGGTTTCACAAATTCAGTTACAAATGTGTCTCATGACAGTGGAGAATAAGTAATGAAAATTACAGCTCTCAAGAAAAACATTGTTGGGACAACAGCCCTACAGTGTAACTAAGAACAGGGAACTTACTGCTCTACATCATTGTACTGATCAGATGACTGATCGACATAGAAGCCTGACACAGCTGATCTATTTTGTATCATATACAGCATGTACGCAAGAAAGACTGTCTATAACACTTGGTTGAAAGTATTCTGATTTCTCAGTAATCAGTGAAACTTTAAAGCAAATTAATTTTTTTTTTTACAAAATATTCCTATTTTTCCATATTATTTTAATTAAAAAACTAGTATGTTAAAAAGGCCTTTATTAAGGTTGTAGATGTTGCCATGCTAAGGTAACAAAAATCAAAGTAGTTTATGCTAACATTACGTTTCTGACAGAGACCAGTAGGTCACTGCCAAATAATGGGGATAAAAGGAGATGAAATAGGACTAAAAAGAACAGCTTTTTGTCTGTTTCCACATACTCTAAACCTATTCTCAAATAACTGGAGATTCATTTTATCCCAAAAGTATAGAATCCACAAATTCTTTTGAACACTGAATATTCTTGAGGTCTTTATTAATATCAAAAGACATTAGAAGTCTTGTCAAGTTTTAGCATCTGTGCAAATAAATTAGATATGTGGGAGTTAATTTATCAGTTAACAGATATTCTCACTCTAGTTTCTCTAGACTATTTTACTTAACAGCCTCTCTTCATTTTTGTAACATGCCCAGCCTCAGACCTTTAGCTGTCTTTGTGTAAGACATTCTCCAAGCACTTTTTCATATGGCTCATTGCATTGCTTATATAGCCTATTATTTTACTTCTCTCATTGTATGTAACTTTCCTTTGGGAAGTGATAAGCAAAGTTATGCATGTTTATTTGGGGAAAACCTGCAAATTTCTTTTATAAAACTTCTTTCTTCAGCAAAATAATTCTGTTTGCATTATGCAATATGTATCAATATATATATAATAGTTAAAAAAAGAAAAAATAAAGGAAAGAAGAAAGGGAGAGAGTCTCAGAAGATAACCCATTGCTTTATCATATGAATGAGAAGTAAAAGACAATTCGTACTTTTGATTGAGACATACCAATAACATATAAAGCAAATTTATGTACTTAAAGTCTTTAATTTTTTCAAAAGGCAAGACCAGTAATAAAATTATACAGTGTTTTTAACATCAGCTAGTTGAGGGGAAAAAAGGAACATAGGAGATAAGCTGGAAAAGAGCTGGGTAAAATGTGAGAAACTGCAGGGACTCTCTTCAGTCATTCAGGAGCTTTGGGATCCAAACTTTTACAGATTAAGAAGAATCAGACGGGTACTCCTGCATACCCAAATGTAAGTAGACAAAGCAGAGAAAGGTTGGTCTGTCATTGTTTTAATAGCAGTCTGAGAAATTACCATAGCACCTAACTTGCTTTTCCTGGCTTCACAATTTTCATTACTGCCCAAAAAGGATTATATTCAGGTACTGTGAAGTGGGTATAGTGTTTGAAGGATGTACTCTAGCCCTAATGATAATTGTTTTTTCAATATCTGTGTCTTAGCCAACAACTGCAAAAGGTTATTCTGTCCTCTAAAATTGCTTAATTTGCCTATCATGAGGTACCTAAAAGAATAGTCTGCAGTCACCAGTGAAGATAAATAAGGATCAGAGCTTCAGCTTCCAAACCTTAAGATGTCACACACCTTTATTACCATTATTTATCTCATTTATTATTTGATCAATTTTATTTCAGACCAAGACTCTGAAGGAAACACTATCACTTCAGAATGGCATATTATCAGAAAGCACACTTCTAAAAAAGGTCAGGTGAACTGAATCACAATGAATTTGGCTTTCTTCCCTACATATCTTAAATAAAAAATAATTAGAAATGGCAGCTTTAGATTGTTCGGAAATAGCTCCATTCTAGACACAATCATTTCAACTGCATGGTAAAAAAGCAAAGAGTTGATAAATTTTTTGTCTCTCTATTGTTCTATACTTGTGTTAGTACTATTCATTTCATGGAATTCTGAAACCTAAGAGGACTACTCTGACCCTCTCATCCAACAGGCCACAAAATTTCATTAATCGCTTCCTGCATCAGACCCGTACTTCCTGCCTGAGTAAGAGTAGGTGCTATTCAGCAGATATTTAATACTGGTTCAAACACTTCAAATGATGGAGTGTCATTCACAGTCATGGTAAATTACTACAGCTACTAGTCATTCATACTTATTTCTCATTTGAAATTGTCTAGAGTAATTTCTAGGATTTTATTGTGATTTTTCCTGCTAAAGTTTCAAATATTTTCTTATCTTAAATTTGTAGGTTCTCATATGTGATGCAAAAGCTCTCCTTAAACGTTTGTTGGATAAAACAGATTGCTTCAAGTCTGTTTTGTGTGAGACCAATTTTCTAGGCAACCGGCTATATGGCTTGGGACTTTTTGCTGCAGTATTCTAGAAAACAGCCTTATTTTTAATAGCATTACAGTCAGTTGCTATGAATAAATCCCCAGAGATGGCTGTGCCTTGAAATAGGGTAAGACATGAAAATGTTAATATATTTTGAAATTTCAATTTTTTATTTTAAAATTTTGATTGTGCCTCTGTAAGTATTACAAAACATTTTCCCTTTTAGTCTTTCACCAAGTATTACTGATTCTAATTTCCCTCCCCTTTTTTGCGAGTTCTGACAGCGAAAACTGTCAAATCATGCATTTGTTGCATGCCCTGAAAAGAAAACCAAATTTCATCTGGGTCAGTATAATTTTTATGAAAAGTGGAGAATGACCTGGAAGATAAGGAGCGATTGTTACACATATTACATCCGGTAATTTATTGCCACAACCTCATCTTTCAACTCTATGGAGCAACGGTGTCTCCTAGTGGTTAAGTAGGAGCTAACGTCAGGCAACGCCTTTTTCAAAAAGTATTCGACTCCATTTCAGTTTATATATACAAAAGTATTATCATAATAAAGCTAAGACTTGTGCAAATTGTTTCTGTTGGAAGGGGTTTTATTGAAAACTCATTCAAATACTTCAGATATCTGGATTTACGTACTTTGGAAATGAATAGCTTCTTTGGGAAAAAATTTATTAACATCAGACTTTGTGCCTGTAGTTTTACCCTTAATTGATTATGACTAAAATTACCTTCCCCTCCCCCTGGCCAAAGATGTATTTACTAGATTAATTAAAAAACAAAACAAAACAAAACAAACAAACAAAAAAAAAAAGAGGAAGAAAGTTTTGCTGTCTTTAAACATTTTTCATGTGCATTCACTATAAGCACTGCTTGCAGTTAATGGGAAATTTCAGTCCCTGGTGCAAAACAGTGTTTTATAAATCATTCTAATTCCTTCCATTGCATTTTCTCCACTACACACAAAAAGGGAAGAGAGTAAATGTCTCCGTATCTTCAAATTCAATTTGAGACATTCTACTTGATGAAACATGTATTTGCATAAACATTTCTCACTGGGGATAGCATCTAAATTTGCACTGTGGAACCTGACAGCAGAGCTTTATAACCTTAAATTCTACTCATTGATCTTGAGCTGCTGTGTACTAAGTAATTTCCTATTCATATTTAGCTTAAATTTTGAACAATATAAGGTCCTAAGCTTTGTAGACAGAGACACATTTTGTGTGAAAATACTAAGGCCAAGATACTGTTATTTGTCAATATGTCTGACAAGCAGAGTTGAATGAACTTAGATATTTTTCCATGGCAGTGTTACAGACCGAAATAAGGTTTTATTTAGCATCAAATTATTTTGCTATGCTAGAAGAATATAATAAAATACTCGAATGCATATATGGGAGATGAGAACAATATAAAGCTGGTGATATTCTAGCACCTGTGAAGTATCTCATACAGAACAGGTAAAAAAAGAGGTGCTCCTTCAGAAGTAGAGATAAACACATAACTTTGCCATCAACAGTTAGGAAAGTATTCAGAGGGATGAACTAATTTTCCAGGAGTTTTATAATTAATGTGACCTTTTTCTACTTTTTTTTTTTTTAGTGGCTGAATGTCTGTAAAGCTGCAATACCCAGTTCTACCACTGCAAGCAGATTACAGACATACTTACATCAGAAGCCTAAAGTGGACAGAGAATGATATGCAACCAAGTATTACTCAGATTAAATCAGGTTTGTTGAATTGACATACTAGAAAGTATTGCCAACATAAAGACTAACATAGATTTTGAACTTGTTGAATATAAAGAAAGGTGGCAATTGTATTTTTTCTAGGAATGTTATGCTCTTGAAAACTTTTACTCTCAACAGGCAAAATTGCATACTTTTCTATTAAACTTCAATGGAATTGGTACATGGACATTTAAAGCCATTTGAGTGATTTAAATTTTTATATTTTTCCACACTAAAACTGCTGTTCCTACTACATCCAAGTTCACTGCAAGTGATTTCCCATGTATGAAACTCTGTAGAAATTCATAAAAGTTTGATGATCATAATTAATGAAACCTGAAGCTTTCCATAGGCTACTTAATATATGGATCACATATTAGCTTAGTTTTATTTGAATTTCAGACCTTGTTTGAAATATTCCAGTACAAAATAAAAAATTCCAGTGTACCAAAACTCTGGTACATTTTGCACAGGAGCTCCACATATAAAATGCAGATATGGTAAAGCAAAAATTTGGAGATGCTCAGGGCATTTGGTTTGTTTTTAGTTCCATTTCTACTAGGGTTGTGATTATAAAAACACACTGGTCTTGTTATTAAAAGCCTTATATGAGGCTTTATATCTTTGAATAGTGGGATACCTTTTAGAAAAGGAGGTTTCAATGTCTCCAGGTTTCAGATATAACAAATTCTTCTCTAAAAAGTAAACCTTCTAATGTCTTTGTTAACACAGCTTCTGTACAGCTCCTTTCATCCTTGATAGCATGAGATGTTGTTCTCTTCTTATACGTGGAATAAAGACCTTGTAAAGTGAAAAAATGCAAAATAACTGTGTCCAAGTTAACACAACTTGTTGATAGAGCAGAGATTACTCAATGTCTCCAATGCAATTTTTACAGAGAATTACTGTTGTAAGAGCCATTTAGGTGCTTTAATGCAACCAAGTGTAATTGTAGAGCCATTCTTATCTACATGTTTCAGCTATTGAAGGAGTCTCAGAGATGGCTTGTGCTTTTCTTTTTTTTTTCAGCAGAAACTTTCGCTGTGAAGAGAATACTGAGAATGGTTGGCTGAATTTTCCTAACTCCATCGCTACCTTTAGAATGATTTGAGATGTTCAAAAAAATTTATAATTTACAGATAGTACAAGCTAGATTGTCACAAAAATTATACAGAACACAGCTTTCACTTGCACATAAGACTGACTCATTTCTAATTTGACTGTTAGGAAAATACTTTATAGTACTAATCAAAAACTATTACTTCAGACAGGCATTTCCTCATTCCATTTTAGTAATTTTAGTTGCAAATAGGTAAAGTGGTTATCAACAAAACTCACAAGGTTTAAGAGTCTGTACCTTGGGCATGACTCCCCTGGCATTCAAATTGCCAAACAGGACTATTGCTTATAAGTTAAAACAGCCTTGTTTAAAATGTGAGTGACTTGCATAAGTATCTAAAATTAACAAAACTCAAGTGGGTGGATTTGCCAGAGATTTACTTATAAGTATGTACATAAAAACAGGGTTGTTCCCTTCAATTTCAAAAAGCAAACAAAGGTTTTTCTATTGATTGCAATCTGTCTTTAGCTGTATGCAGGACAAGTTAGCAAACCAGGTGACACTTCCTCTTAAATTTATCTGCAATGAAGAAGGATGAGTGAGAATAAACACAAGTCAACAGTAAGGGATATCTGTAGTTCCCAACAGAGAAGGGAACAAAGGAGAAAAAGGAAGATGTCTGAAATTATCATAATTAACTTATCCTAGGAGATACAAACGAACTATAAGAACTCTATCAGTATTTCTAATATTTGTCCAGAAAAAACCAACTGAATCAAAGTCCTAGAAAAAAATACACTCACAGAACTAATGTTAGTTCAGAAGGAAATACAGTAACAGTGCAGATACTGAACAGCTGGCATTTGAAGTGTTTAGTTTTCTCTTCAGTACACATGAAGTTCATCTTTCTGGTCCAGAAAAAAAGTCCTAAGCTAAGTGATAAGCTACTTTTAGATGACCTGAGAGAAGACACAGTGACAATTTCCCTTCTAATTCTCTGTTGCCATGACATTGCGAACCTGAACTGTGCTATCTATTACAGCTAATGTACAGGTCAGATTTTCAATGAAAAGCTCAAGACCTTAAAAGGTCTCTGTTTTTGAGACACAGTGGTCAGTTGTTTTTGAAAAACATCTGACCATGAGCATTTTAGTAAGGGACTGCAGCATGATCACACCTGACACTAAGTGTAGAAACTGTTCTTTTGAAATAACTGGAATTAAATTTGCCTAAAATTCTTTTACTATGGGTCTGAACCTTACAGATGCAAGCTATCTTGTATCTGATTAGACTGAAGGAGAGGTGAAGTATGTGTGTGATTCTACTGGATGTCTGATATGAGAGACAGAGAACTATAATGGCATCAAGGTTTGACTATCATAATCCCTGTTCAGGTCAAAGGAAAATGAGAAGAGACAACTATTTCGACCCTGGGTTAGGGTATAACCCCTCTGTAGCTTACAGTTACAAATTAAATCCTCCACTGATCTAAATTAACAGATATACTGTGGTCATAGTGGATCTATGCTAGTTGATTTCATCTGAAAGACTGATACAGAACTTTCTTAAGAAAATGTGATTTGCAATTTTTCAACAGGTTTAATTGAATCCAAAATTCAATTTGTTCATGCTATCTGCAACCTTTAAACAATCAATGGCTATACAATTTCAACAATAACTCTTTAAAATTAGAATTATTGAACAGGCTTACAAGTAGTGATAAACAGAGTGAGGTGGTATTGATTGGCCAGTGGAAGACATTGATTTGAACTGTAAACAGGTATTATGGTAGAAGAATTGGATTACTGTATGTAGTTTTACCACTGTTGTTCTGAGTCATCTGTATACAGATTCATGCTATTTATTTTATTATGGGTTTGATACACTTTTAATTGCTTGAGTAGATTTATGGCTGGGGAAACACGAAAGTCTGAAAAACATCATGGAAAATGGCTGGACGGCACAAGTTTTCACAGCCTTTTCTTATTTAATAGATTGTGAATGCTTATGATTTACTAAACAAATATCCTTACCATATAAATATATTTACCCTGTGTCTTCAAATGGGCTTTATTGGTACAGAATAAGAGTCCTTTTTCATCTAGATATATTCCATCCTTACTCTAGCCAAGCAGGAAATTTTTGCACTGGCATTTGTGAAACATGTAAAGTATATATGCTTATTCACATGCTCTCTGTGTGTATTATTTCAGAAGAATAAACTTGAAAATTACTGAAATCTTCCAGTTTCAGTCAGAAAAAAATAGAATAATATTCCATCTAATCTATAATGAAATATATTATAATTATATCAAATGACAAAACAAAATAAATAACTAAGGGATCAGAACTAGAATAATAATAAGCATTCTGTAAACACAAAAGATGGTACTCTATGCATCAATGGGCTTTTAAGCTAAATGTGAGAGATGAAGGAACAGAATGGCTAATCTAGCAGCAGAAAATGGGTTAGTATATTCTTACTAATTTTAATTGGTGAGTAAACAACAAAATGGGGAAAAATTGACTACAGAAGAAAATGACACATAAAAGCTAAAACCATGCAGAGAATAAAAAGAGAATGAAAAGACATAAAAGATGAACAAACAGCTAGTCTGCAAAGACTAGAGAAAATTTGGTAAAACTGAAGTTCTGTAAAAAGATGATCAAAAGTTCCTGGTGGACCTAGAATCTTACTCTTCACATCTGTTACAGAAGTCTTTTTTTTTTGGTGTTGTCCATCCCTCCTCTAGTCAGCATGGATCTGTGTTGCTAATTCTGTACTTGCACTCTGTGCAAGTCTCTTATTGATGTCAGTGGAAATGTCAAGCATGAAATGTGTTTAGTATATGAAACAGATTTGTACCCAGAGGAAAATTTTGCCTCAGTTTTGTCTTCAGTCTTAACACAGATCTGACCTTGGAAAAACGTAAGCAAAGTTATGTGCTTGCAACAAAGTTCAAGTTATGTCTTTTAAGGAGCCAATTGTCATCTCATACTGACTGTATCCCCATCAATTCTGATAAATTCAGTGCAATAACACCCAATGGACACATTTCTGAGAGGGAGTTTGAGCCCTCACAGTCTGTCATTTGGTACATATAGGCTGTAAAACAGTTAAAAGGTATCACAGTTCTTCTGTTTTTTACTGGCCTCAGTAGGAACTGAACATTGCAAAATCCAGAAATCACATGTAAATATATAAATGACAACTGGTGCTTTTGAAAAACAAAATTACTTATTCAGCTTACATAATACCTAATGACTGCAAATCTGTTTAAATCTAAACTCAAAGTTTAAGAAAACTGTGTTAATAATGCCTGGCAGCTCAATATTTTTCTTTCTTTATACATCCATTTTTAGAAGATTGCAGGGCTTTTTACTTTTTTTCCCCCATTTTGATGTTTGCTGAATGTACACCACTGTTATATCTCAGGATTTTTAGGATTTTTAGCTTTTTGTAGATTTTAATGTAGCTGTGTAATAGTAGTTAACACTTACCAAACCCTATTTCTCCATTTCATAACAAATTTTCTAAATTCTTTAGGCTTGTTTAGGGTCCTTTCAAGGCAGGACTACAGTATACACATTTTGTTTAACATATACACCCCAGACCTGAACAACAAGACACCATCATAGTCAAAGCAATCTTCAAGCCCAGAACCCTGGAGAAGCTCCAAAGACAGTACGTGCTGTGAAGAAGAGGAAGATGAGGAAGAAAGGGGTCTTGGGACCTCTGACTCAATTTCCAGGGAGGCGTGCCGGGGGGCAGATATGAGGAGGATCTGGGGGTGGATAGTTCTCGGATCAGACCATAAATTGTGGAACCCCTGGACACGGGAGGCACTCCTTTGTATCTTTCTGTGCCAGAAGGCCTTCATTAAAGACCTGCTATATTAAAGACCTATATCTTATTTGTACTAAATTTACCTGGTGATTG